GATTCCACGATAAGGTTTTTTACGTTACATACGTACATAGGTTAATTGACCAATCCCCATAGGGGCTTTTCAGGACCAACACCCACCCATCCCACCCAGGGGAGAACATCCACCACACATTAATCTCGTGCGTGGGAAATTAAGGTCTCCTACCCCTAACCCTGCAGGAGACGGGGCCTACGGTTTATCCGAGAAGACTAGAATATCTATCCATTTCTTGATAATAGAAAGGTAGCCAATTCTCCTCACTTATTTTAAGATCATGAGTACTGGTCTGGCCAGGGCTCGAACCCTCAACCTCCCGCGCAACACAATCCAGCGCTCTAACTAATTGAGCTAACCAGGAGGCGGTTAGATCAATTGGCTAGGCGGTTAGCTCAACCTATTTGGTAATTTCATCTGCAAGATTAAGATCACATATTCATATTCCTAACATTGCCCACAAAACTCAAATTAAGTATTTAGGTATCTACACATCAATTTGAGAAAAACTTACACAAAAACAATAAATTAGCAAAAAAATATTATTCATAAATTAAGATATTTTGTAGATGTTCTCACATTGAAACAGTTATATTATTCTTTCATCTATCCATACCTGTCCTATGCTACTATAACTTGGGGTAGTGCAAGTATAACTAGAATACGTAGAATCTAAATTAAGTAGAATAAATGTGTGTGTAGCATGTTCTTTGCCTATAGCAGAGATAATGCTACACCATATTACAATCTTCAAGGAATTCTTAAATTTAAAAATTTGTACAAATTTAAGGTTGCTCTTTTTATGCATAAACTTCTAAACAGCTCAACGAACATCTCGACTATATTCCATAGAACCCTTACTCAAGCCTGGGAGATTCATAACCACAACACCAGATTTGCCTCTAGATTAAATCTTCATAGTCCAAAAGCAAATAATAACTATGGGATCTCTACTTTTGCTTTTGTTTCATTTAAACTTTGGGAAACTATTCCAACAAATATTAAAAGAATTACCCTTCCTTCTTCTATCAATATAAATTACACCCTTTAAACACTCAAGCTTCTGTATAATCTGTATATAGTTTATCTGTGGAACTTTTATTCTATTTTTTTTTCTTTGATCTCTATTGTAATTGGCTGATGTGTCTTGTCAATTATTGGTGCGTGTCAGTAACCAACACAAAAACCTATGCTACTTTGGTCACTGAGCACATTTTATCTTGACTGCTTATTGTAATATTTTTTCTCTTTAATTGATGGAAGTTTTTTCCTTTTGTATACACTGTTTGATGTTATAAATTTTGTAAATAGTGCATAACAATAAACTGTATCTGTATATGTACTGATTTTCATTTTGAATTGTAGGAACATTTGATTCATTGTGACTTTGTGGATGTATGGTGCTCCAAAACATGTGGAAGAGAAATGCCTAGAAAGGACCTTAAAGAACATCTGGAGAAGGAATGTCCAAACAGAACAAAACCTTGCATAAACTGCAAAAAAGACATAAAGTTGAATGAATTAGAGGTTTGTCTTGGTTGAAATAGTACGTAAAGGGGCCTTACCCCTCTTATTCTTAGACATAGTGAGGGCTGGGCTCTAGCGCAAAGTTGCCTTCCAAAGTAATCTTATTTAATAGAAGACTTCATTATAATTATCACCTGAGTCAGAAAAAAAAAACAGAGATTTACCTAAACGTCAAATGAACCAAAATTTAGATATCTTTGACACATTCTAAAGTTTCAAACAAATTGGGGAAGCTTCCCGAGATATTTGAATATGAAATCACTCCAGGAAGGTCGGAAAACTGTTTGTAACAAAACTTGTGATGTCACCGTCGGCAAGGAATATGGTTTCCCCAGTAAACCTCACAGAAAACAATGGTGTTTTGTCGGACAATTAATTGCACAGTCAAGCAACTCAAAACCCAAAGTTAGCATGTTTAAGTTTTCCCAGGATCCAAAACTCATAAGAGAATGGATTATAAAAATGAACAGAGAATATTTCATGCTCCTGATGAATTTGCGAGTTTGTGCAGAACACTTTAACAAATAAAGCTTCAAACAAAATATTGGGATCGGGAAATTGTCGAGTCTTTCTTGTAAACCTTGTTGCCTTGTACACATGAGAGATGAAGTACTGACAAACTTTAGCTTCAATATGGAATGCTATAAGCTAAAAACTCGGGACAAAAGAGACGAAAAGCAAATGAAGGAGGTCCTTTGAGTTTGATGAATGGAACTAGTTGATGGGCTGTATGTTCGGCTTTCACACAATGAAGAAAGTTAGAGGCAATGTTTTTATAATATTATAAAAACACTGCCTCTTTTCATCCTGAGCTTGGTTTGAGATTGCTGTTATCCGCGCAAGAGTCCTCAGTAATAAATAGTTTTTCTGTGTTTTGTTGTAAATCATCAATTCTTAAATCTCAGTGAAAGAGATTAACTAATTGCGTCATGCTTAGCTGTTTTACTCGTTGATTCTTGATATTGGTTTAACATGTGGCTGTTGGAGGCTTTTGTGACATACATGCTGTGTTCCTTGAACTACTTGCACAATAAGACATCACGTCTCGAGTATCACATTCGACGCACGTATAGAAACTGTAAAAGTAAAATAACAATGCTTTAAGAATCTTGAAATATTTCAAGATTCTTAAAGCACTGTTATTTTATTTTTACAGTTTCTATACGTGCGTTGAATGTGATACTCGAGACGTGATGTCTTATTCTGCAAGTAGTTCAAGTTGTTCAAACGCATTCCTAGCCTCGGCAACTACAATTTCTTTAAAATGCTTTGTTCCAATGTAGTGAAATTATCAATTTTTGTTTTATTAAAACATAGTTCCTGTCGGACACCAGATTCCCACATTTCTCTTGTTTGTAACAGGCTGCAAGGCATTCAAAGATTACTTGAAACAATTATCAGCAGCAAATATTTGTCAAAGTACATTCCCAAGTTATATCCGCATCAGACATCCTTAGTTGAAGTCTTACCCAAAGTGGACATACATGTATACTAAGCTCCAAAAAAAGCTTACTTCTACAGGGGAATGAAAGCAAGGTAGCTTGTTACACATCAAAGAGGAGTACCCGATTTTTGACGTTTAAAGCCATTTACCAAGTAAGAAAAAAAACCTTTGTGGCATTCAAAACCTTACAGCAATGAATCAAGTACCGCAGCCGTGCACATGAAGTGTTCAAGCCAGCTTTGCCATCATGAACCAGGTTTTCATATCCAGTTTGCATGTTAAGGTGCGCAATCACTTAGGAGAGATTTTCGCCAAACCATCAGAAACCTTCGATTCACTTACTTGGTTCACTCCTTTTCGGGGCTCAGAAAGAAAAACTTTTGCTCAATCCTCCTTGAAAATGTTTCTTTTTAACATTTCAAGTTGTCGCTTTAAGAGTGTCTAAATTTTGGTTAATTTGACCTTTAATTGCTTTCATTATTGAAAGTTGATGGTGTTGATTCTCTGATCTCAGAATAGTTAAAAATCCCATGGACGCGAGGCACACCAAATGGCTATTTGAATTGGGAAAGCAAGGAGTTAGGACAACCAAGAACAAATTCATTGGGTTATTAAAAGGGAGAAGAATGTAAACCTCAATATTAGTTATATTGTATAACTATTATTAGTTATATTGTTAGCAATAAACTACTCATCCTCGGAGACCCAGGGGCTGTGAGTCGATTTCAAGTTAAGGACAGAGGAGCCCCTAGGGACATTGTCTTACAAGACTAGTTCCAAACGGTCGCAGTCGTTGTGCCATCTGATTGGTGCCAGAAAATCTTTGTGTTTTTCTGCCCAATCAGAGTGAAGTGTCCTTTCGTGTGTTTTAACACGCACATACACAACAAGCTCTGTTGCTCGCTATGTTTGTTTGGGCCGTGCGACGAAGCTTTGCCCGAGGTGAAACGTTTCAGTCTCAGCACAATCTAAGAGAAATCGATCTGATTGTCCGCGAAATCTTACCGGAAATTATACTGAATACTTTCGCAGATATCACAAGAGAACGTGTTTAAAAGTTTTCGAGGTTCGTATAAAACATAATGGTTGCAGGCATTGATATGTCGCTTTAAACGTTAGATGAGATGTAAGCCTAAATCTCTCAAGATTTTTGT